TCTCGAAATTGTGTAACTGTAACAGATGGCAAATCCAGCTAGCTGCAGGACTCCCCGACGACTACTTCGCCATCAGTGTCAGATGTCGCCGATGCCAGTGGATCCTTTGCACGGGAAGTATTGTTTGTTCTAAGTTTAAGTTTAGGGTTTAGGGTTTAGGGTTTAGGGAAGTATTGTTTGTTGTAAATTTAAGTTTAAAGTATTATTCCACATTGGCAAATGGGCAGTAGACGATGTAAACTCGTGCTGTTAAACTGAGACGGTTCTGGATGAGGATACATGTTGATATTCAGAAACTAGGGGCTCGCCTTAGGTGCTGCCGGCGTGGAGACATCTGGGGCTGGACCCAGGGGCGAGGAGCTGCTGGCATCTGGGGCTGGACCCAAGGAGGTTTCTGGGGCTGATCTGCTGGCATCTGGGGCTGGACCCAAGGAGGTTTCTGGGGCTGCTCTGGCATCTGGGACTGGACAGCTGATCTGGCATCTGCGGCTGCTGGGGCTGATCTGGCATCTGGGGCTGGGCCCAAGGAGGCTGATCTGCCAGGGCCATCTGGGGCTGGACCCAAGGAGGATCGCGGGCAGGATGAGACTTGGTTGATTCGTTGGTTTATTTTAGTTGCCCTAAAGTTAGACTTCGTCATTCTTCCTCGTGAAGCGGAGGCAATGCCTGGCAGTGGGCGTGAGGCGGAGAACCTGCCTTCAGATGTACCTCATGTGCCTGAGCATTCTTATGTAACACTTGTTTACCTTGACATGGTGTGTTCAAGAATAGTGGTCATTAAAATATATTTTTAGACTCAAGTCGGCGAGTTTAAACTGTTATTCCAAGGCTTCAACTTCTTGTAACTTTTCAATCTTGATCCTAAACTTTAAACTATGTTGTTGGCCAAGCCATGACAAGCTGCAGGCCGTGGCGGTCCCGGTTGCTGAAGCTGCTTCCTCTTCTGCTGGACCGCTGCCGGGGCCCGTGCTGCAGAGCCCAAAGGCCTGCAATCGGGCGTAACGTGAGTAGGTGCTAACCCGAAGCTCTCTAGGTAGCTCAGTCCAAACCTTTCATCATCCAAACCCAAACACCCAGACTCCCATTAAGGCACCCAGTTAGGTCAAGTCCATCCCCGAACACACGGACCGAAATCGGCCCTAGCCAAACTGAGTTCACCGCCGATTCCGAAGCATGAGACCCCTGAGGCCTCGCCTTTGGTGGGTCCTGGTGCGGCGGTGGCAGCGGCAGGCCCAGGCGTGATAGGGCCCCGCAACCATTTCACTTGGGATCATGTTTCTAGGCCGGCCTAGAGCCGAATCAGGATATTAGATCGTATGAAAATAAATCTTTTGCTATACAAAATAATTTAAAGCAGGCGGCCACGACGAGCAGGAGCCGGAGGACGATATCCAGCTGGTGCCCAACGTCACGGGGGCATCCCGGCCTTTACCTTGTCTGATTTTTTTCCTCGGGGTTGTGTTGAGGGTTTTAGTTTAGAGGCCTCGGTTAAGTCTGCAGGCAGATATTCCGCTGGTTAACGGCTGGTATCAGGGCAGGCTGGAGTCTGGACGGGCATACGGTACAACTTGCCGGGGCGGACATGCACGTGGAAACGTCCAGTGACGGGTCCTCCAATAGTACCTGTTTCGTATGATTTTAACTAGTATGCAAGAACTAATTGGGGCACTCTTATGAAGGAGCTCACTGGGGAACTTAGGTCCAGTTCGATCCTGCGACCTGGCGGAGATTGGATCAGGTTGCTTTATGACTGAGGTTTTGGACTTAGGTAGGAGAAAGCTTTTGGGTTTTGGTTGGCTCTTAGTCGTGGCCTTCAGGAGGCCTAAGTGCCCCGACCGATGTTTTCTCAACCTCTAAAGTCTCAAGCCCTAGAGCCCCAGACCCTAAACTCCAGACCATAAGACATAAACCCAACCGAGGTCAGGTACACTCCTGACTGCGGCGAGCAGCACATGGAGTCGCAAGGATGGGAGCTCTGGACTGTGTATCTGAGCTCTGAGAAGTTCTGGTACAATCGGGCTCGTGCTGCTCGGGCTTCCTTCTCAGCCTTCGCTCCTCCGCTGCATCTAGTGTAGAATTTTATTCCGGTCCCAGAAGCTCTCGGGTCCAGGGCAGTCCCGTTTGTTTTGCTGTGGGGTCTCCTTACTGTTACATTAATATAGGAATCTCAGAAAAATCATGCTGTCGTTTACTGGGGAACTTTGTCTCAGGGTGTTAGACTAATTTGAAATACCCCAAACCGTAAACCAAGCCCTCAACCCAAACCCTAAACCCTAAGCCCTTCGGCCTAAAGCTTAAACTCTAAACCCTAAGCCCTAAACCTTAACCCTAAACCCGTAATCCGCCGAGGAGGAACCGTTCTTGGCTGCTGCCCGATCTGAGCGAGAACGGAAGCGTTTCCGAGTTCTGGCGGAAGAGAAGGAGGCGGAGGAAGAGAGGCAGAGGAAGGCTGCAGCCAAGGCGAAGCGGCTGCGTGAGAAAAGTGTGGTCTCAGGCTTCAAACCCCACCAGTGAACTATGTCTAGAAGTCTGTTCCAATTTTATTTTTGATTATCAGGGTAGCTTGAAACAAGATCCCGGAAACCCAAGCCAAGGGAACCCTGTAAAGTACCCAGATCTCCCTGGGGACTGAGCCATTGGATGACATCGAGTCCCCATGTAGATTGAATGTAGAATGCCTCTGCTTGCAGGACCTGGTCGGCTGCTGATGTGGCAGCTCCACACGTGGCCGCTTGGAGGCTTTAGGAGTCTCGGGCTTACGTCATTTTGGGGAGGTCTGGTATGCAGTCGGTTTAGGGGTTTAGGCTTAGGGTTTTACTGTTCTGTGGCCCCCGGGCTTAGGGTTTAAGTTTCGGGGTGAGGGTTTAGGCTGTAGGTTTTCAGGTTTAGGGTTTAGTGTTCAGGGCCTCGGGTTTAGGGTGCCCTGGGCGATATAAAGGGTCAAAGGGTTGCAAGGGTTCTAATTAATTAGTTATAAGTTAAGAGTTATTAGGGTTCAGGGTTTAGGACATTTCATCAGGACACGTTTTGTGGGTTTGGAGTTTGAGTTTTAGGGTTTCGGCTTAGGTTTAGTTTAGAGTTTAGGGTTTAGGCCGCAGGATCCCGGCCTGGACCCAACCGTCTACCCGAGGCAATGGCCCTGGAACTTAACTTCGCTAGCAGGATTCACGAAGCACCATGCTAATGCAAAGTAGTTGTCTAATATGTTCATGTCAGTTAACGTATGAACCAATTACAATGCGATCTAAAGGCATGAAATGGCCAAAACCCTTAAACCTGTAAAGCCTGAACCCTAACCCCGTAAACAATGGCATAGGGGCTTCTTGCTTGAATAAAGATTGTGTAATAAAATACTTATAACCCATAAACCTTGCTTAGACTGGGCTTGTTAGCCATGAAACTTCATGTGTCACTTTATGCAAATAAAGTCTATGGCTTAGCGTGAAACCTTGGTCTTGTATGGAAACATGGTTTTTGGCGCTTAGAATTGAACCCGGGTTTTTTACTAGAAAGAGTGTTTTTGGCGCCTAGCGTGGAAGTCTTAGTTCTTGTTTCTTAGAATAGACTTAAGCATAATGTGGAATGTTTGTATAAGAAACCTTTCTATTAGTATTTGTGTGAATACATTGTTCTAATTCTCTAAAACTTAGAACCGTAAATCCATCCCCTGAACACTATGAAAGTAAGGTTTTGGGCGCTAAGCGTTGAGCTCCTTGTTTTTTTCTAGAAACAGGGTTTTCGGCGCTTAGCGTGCACCTCTTGTTTTTCGCATGTCATTACTTGTGAACTACTTGGCTTTTCTAATATATCATAAATAAATAATAACATACTAAAGTTGAATTATTTTAATATAATTATTTTTTTTATTTTACTATTAGTTTAAATAATCAGGTTTTTGGCACTTAGCGTGGGGTCTTAAGTTTTAGCTAGAAACAGGGTTTAAGGCACTTAGTGTGGAGGCGGCTTTTGGGATGGAAACAGAGTTTTGGCCGCCTAGCGTGCAGTCTAGGGTTTTGTTTAGTAATCTAAGTTTGGGTGAGTAGCTGGAGTGTTGGTTTTTGCATAAGCCAGGTTCTCGGCGGCTAGCGTGGTTGGTTCTTGGAAGATTAAACATCGACATTCTGTGCATTCATAATGCAGACAGAAGCTTTGTTTTGCAGCCGCCAAGTAATGAAATACTGACATAAAGCCAGCCATACTATTTAATTTATTGTCCTGAGCAGCTTCTTCAGCCCGGCGGTTCTTGTGAATTCTACCCGGATGTCAGGTACTCGGACGTGGTGAATCGCTAGGCCGCTAGGTCCCGAGACGAATACTGCATAGCATCAGGGGGAATGATTGGAATCAAGCAAGGAGGCATAGAATCAATTCACGTCTGATTCTTCGCAGCATGCTTGCTCGTTTTCGCTGCCAAGCTTGCTCAAGTTTTGCTGGGTCGTTCCTGAGGCTCTCCCCTCCCTTTGCATTGCACATCATGACCGGTAAAGGCTCGGGAAAAGCAGGGGCAGCGGGATCGGCGGGCACAGGTGACTGGGTTGCACATCAATCCTTTCTATTCGGTGGCAATGCCCCTAAACCAAAGTCAGAACACTTTATTTCCGCTTGAGGTCAGAATGCTGGCAGTCGTGGCCCCAAGTTTCGGGACTGCTCCCAGAAGGACGTGGAGGCGGTCGGCGGCAAGATGGGCCCCCAGTGCGAGACGGTGCTGGCGACTTGGGCCCAGGTCCTGGTGAAGGCGTCCAAGAACGTGGCCAATCGCCGGATCAAGCTTGGCCTCGTCAAGCAGCTGAAGACGAAAAAGAATGACGGGTCGGTGCCGCCGCCGAAGTACTGCGTGAACAATCAGTGGCCGAACCTGCAGAGGATCATGCTACAAGTGCTCCAGAGGACGGGCTTAAGAACTAAAGTTTGCCATTACATCACATAGAGGGGCACATTTCAGACGACTTCTCAAGTTACGGTTTAACCCTTTCTCACATCACAGGGCCTTGGACGCGAAGATCACCAGTGTCTTGATCGTGGTGAACCCTCCGGGCGGCTCGCTGGCTGTTCCGTCGTCGAAGAATACTCCGACGAGCACGGCGTTGGCAAGCTTCGTCAGCGGCGAGTGGAAGGAGGGCGGCCCTGGCACCGTGCTGCAGGTCCAGGTTCCCCAGCCGAAGATCCAGCCCATCGACACCCACCTCAAGGTTGGGCTCTGCTTTCAGAAGGGACTCAGGGCTTAGGTTTTCGGGTTTCTGTTTAATTTCCGGCAGGTGGCGAAGATCGACGGTCGCCTTCCGATCGCCTATCCGGCCGGCAACAAGTCGCTGATCTATGTCTTCGGGTACAATGCCCAGGAAGCCGGTGACTCCTTGGACGACACCACGGTTCAGGACCTGCGGTCCCTGGGCTACGAGGGTGGCACGAAGACCCGAGCTGCGGACACCGGGCCGCAAAGTTCTGAAATTGTTCAGTGCTGAACTTACTCACTCATTTTAGTCATCATGAACTTATCAGCCCAGGTGGCTGGCACCATGCAGGACTTGCTGGATGCGGCCACCAAGATCAAGATGGCCAAGCGGGTGATCAGAGCAGAGATCCGGAAGGCTGCGGAGCGGCGTGTCAAGCCTTGCCCGCACTGCGGCCAGGACGTGACTTGTTCCAGCTAAGTGTCTTTTCATCCATAGCTGTTGAGGCAAAGGCAGGCACAGGCAAGTCCCAAACTTTTTCTTGGGTGATCTTGCAGAGACGTTGCACTTATTACTCAGTCCAGGTCAACCAGCCGCCGGCCAAGAAGCCCAAGCACAACCCGGCGGCGTCGCCTCAGAAGGCGAAGAAATGAAAGCCTGAGGAGCTTGAGAGGCGTCACGATTGCTTCCGGACTAGTCATAAATACTAAGTCTGAATTTAGTGAGGGAATGCCGCTTGCTGTTTGGATCATTTCTTTCAAGACAGAAAAGCTCCAGAGCACAGTCCTCGGAAGCCTCGTGGTGCAAATGTTTGGGAAATCAGCTGAGTCGAAATTCCAATTAAAGAAGAGCAACAATGACAAGTCTCATGGGACTCTCGACGGGTGCTGTAGTGTCAGGTCGCCGGCTGTGCATTGCCAAGAGGCACCGCCATGCAATGCACTGCCCCAGCATACTAAAGCTTGGCTGCATGCCGGTCTTTAATCGTCAACCGACAGCACGTCGCTGAGAGTGGCAAAAGCAGCGTGTGGGATCCATACAGAGACTTCTGGAGGCACTCGTCACATAGACTTATGCTGTTCGACGTGACGATTTAAGGTCGAAGGGTTTAGAAGTTGGTGCTTTGAAGCTCTGTGACGACTGAAAATCCTTCACCCCAAAACCCTGACACCCTGAATCTCCAAGCCTTGCCCTGGGCACCCAAACTCCTGCGGACCCACCAGTAACGGCCTGCGGGTTTCAGGATTTGAGTTCTTGCGGCTTTGGGCGTTCTGGGTTGCAGGGTGGGCTGCTGAGGCTGCGGTGTTCTGTGCTTGGGGATTTCGGGTTCAGGGTTTAGGCTCCAGGTTTCGTGGATTATGCGTGTAGTGCCTGCCGTGCTGGGTTTTGGATTTCCGGCTTCGACTTTGCATTGGAGGGCAGAGGGCCGGAGCTTGGGGCTCAGGGGTTTGGGGGTGTTGGGTCTTGGGGTTCTTGTCTTTAGGACTGTCGGCGTTGCGAGGTTAGCGGGGTTAGGTCTCGGGGGAGGCAGGGTTTCAGTCTTGAGTTGGAGATTGGGGATTTGTCGCATGTAGGGCTGTGTAAGTTGCCAGTCTTGCTAAAATGCCGGATTGCTTTATGGGTACGGGTTTTTGCAATAGGAACTGGCCTTCAGGGCTTTCGGGGTTTAGGTTGTCCCTGCTGTTCATTTCAGATTCAGCCCCCATGATCTGCCCCTCTTGCTGAGGCGGCGTCGGCCCAGACTGGCGGACGAGGCCGGTCTCAGGCGGAGTTTGTTGGTGTTGGGGCCAATAGTTGTTGGGTACATTGCATTCGGGGCATAATAAGCGTTGGAGCTTAAGGGGTTTAAGGATGAAGTTCTGGGGTTTACGGTTTCAGGGGACATCGCCCAGTCAATTTGGAAATTGCAAGAGCCCCAACTCCCCGAACCCCTGCTTGCCCGAGACAAGTACACAGCTCGAGGGCCTAGGGGCTTCGGTTCTTGGGTTCGGGGCCGTAGGGTAGTCATACCTGTTTCCGTGCTAGGGGTCAAGTATAAGGCCCGTGCCACTAGGATTTTTGGGTGCCGGGGTGCAGGGGTCTAGAAACGAGTGTTTGATTTTCGTGGTGTTGTAAAGGTTGTTTCTTCTTTGAACTCACTGTGTCTAGCCTGTTGGGGTTTCGGACTCTGGATTAGGGATTCGGATTCAAAGGTTTCGGCGAATGTCCGGAGAATAGGTTTCGCCGGGTATAGGGAGAGTTCGCAGGCTCGGAACCCCGTAATCCTTGTGGTGAAGGGGAGTGATGTTGCTTTCAGCGTGCTTAGAGTTTTTGGAAATAGCTTTTGGGCCAGTCCGAGACACCTGTTAATTTCAGACAACGGCTCAGTCTTTAGGGCCTCGATTCGAGCCGTAAGGCTCGCTTGTTCAGATGACCTGAGTGCTGTAGGCCAGAGTTTAAGGCTTGTGCCTTCGGGTTCATGCACTTCAGGGCTTCGGGATCAGAGCTGCATCAGGGTTTTCGCATTAGGGATGAGGGGTGGGAGTTTGCGGATGTTTGCGGTAGAAGGGTTTACAGAAGGAAACCTGTGTCGGGGCTTCGGGGCTCGGGTTCAACGTCGAGTTTGACAGAGTGCGGCAAGCAAGAAGGCATGACCCAGACAGATTTGTCTTGCCTTGACCAAGCCCAGCAGGCGGCTGATTGCCGTGCTGAGGTCCGGGAGGTGTCGGATTTGTAGAAGAGTCGACATCCTCTGCTCATCTTTGAGGCCGAGGCCGTACCAGATTGCAAAGCTGGCCTCCAGGCATTCAGCTGGCAGACACAAAGCCAAAGCTGCGGAAAGAGTCCGCCATCTCAAAGACGGCCGCAGGATTGGGAAGACCGCCGTGTCTTTCTGTTGGTCCAAGGACCAGGTCTGCACGTTCTCAGACGGGACCTTCGCCACCTGCATTGGCACTGAAGCAGCCATCCGTTGCCAACCGGGCACCGAAGAGAACAGGCACTGCCTGGGCAAAGATCGCCCTGAGAGGGCTGGCCCTCCAGGCCAAAACCCTAAACCCTAAACCCTAAACCCTAAACCCTAAACCGTGACTCCTAAGCTTCGTTTTGGTGTCATCCATGTCCCAAAATTCCTTGACCCCCTAGGATAACTGGGGCCGAGTCTCAGGCCTGCAGGGCACCCTTGTGGATTAAAGCACAAATTGGCAAACTGCTCCGTAAGATTTGATCCTCAATCTCGACAAACTTCACCATAAACTAGGCCAGGCTCAATTGCTTGCCCGCATCTTGTTCTTTTGAGGGGTGGGCATAATGTATTACAGTAAGCCGACATTGAACTGAGTCCCAGTGCCCGAAAAGCCCATATTCTCAAGACCCGAAGTCCTATGCTTTGAGGAATAGCTTCGTGCCCGCTAAGATTGAAGGCATATCCAACTTTCCGGTTTGGCCCTAGAGCGGTTTGGTGTTTTGGGGTTTTCTGATTTGGTGCCTTCGGGGGTTGCAGTGTCACGGGCTGATGGTTCAGGTGTTTGAGATTTAGGGGTTCAGGGATTTGCCATGTTGGGCGTCGCCGGTGCATGTCATAGGGCTTCGGGGTTAGGTCGGTTCTTTTTCGTGTTTCACGGAAGATGTCACCTCCGTCAAGCCGCAAGGCTGGCTTCCGGCAAGCGAAAGGCCGGGAACAAGGGTTGTCGCCAGTTGCGGGTTTAAAGACGAAGACCGGTCACCGGTCTAGTATGTTGACATTGATAGAATTCCAAAACTAGGGCTTTGGACTCCAGGAGTGGCCTAGCAGGTGCTTGCGTGTCTGGTCGAAGGGCCAGGACTTGAGGGGTTTGGGTTTTGCGGCTTGTAAAGTTTCTACGATGCAGGGCTGAGGGGCTGAGAATAGGGTATAGGTTTGGCGTTTAAGGGTCGAGTCACAGATGCAGGTTTTCGTTTCGGGACTCAGTGGGGTTTGCAACTCCACGGCTTCGTTGCCGGGTTCTGGGGACCCAGGGCTTTTGGATTTGGATTAGAGGGGTCTGTAGGGTGCTTGTTGGGTCCCAGGGGCCGAGGGTTTCGTGTTTGGAGGTCCGGGAGATGAAGCTTAAGTTCTTGGTTTGGGAGGTTCAGCTTCAGCTTTGCTGATTCTCCTTAATTCGGAGTCGAGGAGTACGGGGGTCCAGTCTCTTTGAAATTGGTGTCCAGGGGTTTGTAGGGTTCATTCTTCAGGGCTTCGGGTCTCACGGTTTGGAGGTGGTCGTGTAGGCATCTTGGCTTGACGATGTCCGGCCTGGATAGGGATTCTGGTGGCCTTTGGGCTTTGAGGGTTAGTTTCATATTAAATCAACGTCGATTCAACACTTGTTAAAGACCGGCTCGGAGCCGAACTAAGTCTCAGTCTTTAGGTGGCACCTGGGATCAACAGGGCTTCGAATCAGGATCCACGGAACCAAGGACGTCATGGGCTTCAGGGCCTTGCAATTCACCAGTCTAACACCCTGGCAGACCGACGATCTTAGCCCAGGGCCCCGCCCAGATTGAAGCCTGGAACGAAGCGGTCTATGAGCCAGGTCCTCGTTGGCGGAGGATGCCGCCCTGGGATTCGCTGGGCACAGGCGCATTGTCGCCATGAGCAGGAGCTGTGCACATTTGCTCAGGAAGCATGAGCATGAAGGGTCTTGGGCCAGCTTGGAAGAAGCAGAATACCTCTTCTCCCAGCCAGCTCTTGCTCGAGGACGACTTCTGAATCGGGAGGGTGATTCGGGGTGCTTTGCCATGGCAACCTCATCCGAGGATGTTCTTAAGTCGGTGGAAAGGGCTTGCTTCAAGGCCACATCATCCTTGCATTGGCCCAGCCTCATCCATGGGTCACATTCGTCATTTCTCACAGGCGATCCGCGACGACGAGCAGCTCAAGCTGAAGATCCGTGCCCAAAAATCTTTTCTGTGCGGGGAACAAGGAAAGGTGAATGCCGCCGCCGTGATCTCGAATGCTGTCACCCGTCTTAACAGGCATGTTGTTGCCCGCTTTTCTCATCGCCGTCCACCGACGTAGACACTTCTGAGGACATGCTCAAGCGGCTCATCATCGCCTGGATGGGCCACGTGAAATTCAATACCGTGCCCCACTTGGAGAAGCTCCTCCTGCACTTGAGGGATGCCTGGGATGTCGCGGCTTGGCTTGAACCATGCGGCTCGGACCTCAGCTTGCATGTCCAATCATCGTCCCCAGGATATGGGCGACAAGGACCTGAAGAAAGAGGCGAAGCAGTTCAAGAAGCTGCTGAATCTCCATTACGGCAACTTGGTCATCTTGTCTTCAGTTGCAATCTTCACAGACTCAGAGGCCTCATGGATAGGCTACAAAAGCTAAGATGCGGCCAGTCGTGTGGAGACCGAGCACAGGAACTCGGCACTTTCCATGTTGACGGTGCCTCATGCTGCAAGCTGGTGTTGAGACTCTGCGAGCATGTTCAGAATAAGTTCAGAGTCGCTGAGACGAGGCAACCTTCGTGGAGCAAGCAAGGCTGCAGAAGGACAACAAGCATGCACTCCGATTCGAGAAGGTCACGTATAGGAAGAAGCGGCCAGCCGAGGCCCGGGCTTGCATCAGGATCCCCTCTATCGGAAAGGGTTGAAATTGACCCTCAGGAGATTCTGGAGGACGACGAGGGGACCGAGTCGACACTTGGCTGCATCATTTCAGGGTCAAAGGAGTGAAGGGTTGATTTTGGTCGGTCTTTTGACTGCAGGGCGGCTCCCATTGCTGTGAAGCGGCGTGCTCCGCTCCGGAACGAGGACGTTCAAAGGTTGCGAGAGAGGCGGGGCAACCGTGGCAGTGCAAAGGACCCGTTAATCATTAAGTTGCACAGATATCATTCGCCTTGAAGAGGCTCATCTTCAGCACAGCGGGGTACCAGATCGAGCCGCACTGGCGAAGTGCCAAACCAAAAGCCGTGGTGAGAGACAAGATCCTCGATTCCACAGTTTGACTGTCAGTGTCAGTGCCCGGTTTTTGAGAGTGCGAAGCCTACTGTCTTCAATCAGTCAGTTGTCCTTGCTTGAATGTCGTCAGAAAGTCGTGAGTCTTGTCAAGCGGTTACACGGCGAAGGTTAGCTGGGGTCCCACCCACATGTAAGACCTCCAGCGTACGAAGTAACCATGACCTGAAACCCAAACTTTTGTGAACTTGTAAACCCGAGAAGGACTGGCAAGGGGATTTTCTCGATTACCCACCCCGATTGGCCGCTGGTTTTGAAACTGGCGTCGACTGTGGTTACTTGGCTCCAACTGTACAGTAAGTAATTTTTAATTTAGTACAAGGAACTAAAAGGCTGCTCACTGCCTTAAGACACCTTCAGACCCAGGCAAAACAAGCTCAAGATCAAGGCGGCCCTGAGGGCATTTACCAGTTTGCCACTGCTGAGTACCGCAAACTGCTGGCGAATCCAGCAGTGGCAGAGCCCTGAGACCGAGTGGCTGCCTGTATGACCGGGGCAAAAATCGTCCGACGTGGCTGGGGCAGCAGCCTTGACTAAGCTAAAACTCTAGGCCGGTGTCAAGCAGTCGACGCTGTCAGACCTGCACTTCTGTCTTCGTCCGATGTTGGCCTGCGACTGAGTGACGGGTCCTGCGTGAAGATTTGCATGAGCATGCCACATCGAAGTCATATTCAAAGATACATTGTTTGGCAAACAGGATCGAGGACGATGGGAGGACAAGCGTGACGGCTGTGCTGTGTGCTGGGCGAGGCAGGGCACATTCGTGCTGTTTGCTGGTCCACCTGGTGATATCTGTGACGAGAGGCTTGTGATTGTTGACGGTTGTCTTGGCTGTGCTGTATGCTGGACGAGTCAGGGCACATTCGTGCTGTTTGCAGGACGATGCAGGGCAACGCGACCGTGCGTACAGGCTGCCGTGATGGATTCGAGAGGTGAGCGGTCTTAGTCTGTTTAAGCTGACAAGCGTAGGAGATGGCTTTCTTATTCACGTATGCACCACCTACACTGAGCCCCGGGCTCGGCGTCGGAGGCGTCATGTGCTATGTTGACTCCATTTCCTACAGCCGAGCCCTTGCAGCTTTCAGCTCTTGCCTGTCCGGCGTAGGAGAAGGCTTTGTTACTCACGTATACACCACCTACACTGAGCCCCGGGCTCGGCGTCGGAGGCGTCATGTGCTATGTTGACTCCATTTCCTACAGCCGACTGGGCGGCTGCCCTTATTGTTGTACTGTAAGATGCCCGTGTCCAGTAGCCCCCGAGCAGCAACATGAGCTCGCCGAGGCTGGAATGCCAGCCAGCTGGACATTTTCCTTCCCGAAGGCGGCCTGTGTGTCTGTGGGCAGCTGTAGGAGAAGGCGAGCTGCAAGCAATTTCAAACACAGCAGCTGTTTCAGCTTTCGGGCATCGCTTTTGGAGCCGGGCCATTGCGAGCCGGGCCATTCCAAGCCGGGTGATTCCGAGCCAGGCCATTCCGAGCCGGGCCATTATGCCGCCCCGTCGCAGCGCAGGAGGCTCTGGCAAGAAGAAGGCGGTCGAGACCTCGACGGTCGCCAAAGCCCCCGAGGATGGCCCCGTCATGAAGATGACAACATCGGAGGGCTGGGATGCGGTGAAGCAGGCCATCAAGAAGCTGAAGGAGGCCAAGCGGTGGGTGACCTCAGGACAGACGGCCAAAAAAGCTTGTGCTGCATTATTGAGTTGTGCCAGTCTGGGGCTGTCATTGTCTTATCAGAGCTCGCTAAAACCCTCGAGGAAAGAAGCTCCCCAACGAGGCAAAGACTGGTGCCATCTGTGTGCTGAAGCTTGGCGACGTCAACTACGACGAACCCGGTCCGGGGCTAACGTACCCAACGTTGGCAGAGCTGTCAGGAAGCCGGAAGTATTGGTTTGGGGGGCGCAACTCCGACATCAGCCTTCCGGTTCTCCAGCTCATGACAGCCACCAGCAGGAGTGCGGATTCCACGCCACTCTCCTGCAATTATTATTCGGTCCCTTGTCATCAGTCGGTCCCCTCGGAACATTCGTTACCCTGAGGCCAGGACAGCTTCTTGCAACGAGCCATCTCTCCCGGCTCGGCGCTTTCGTGCTGGAATTTGCGGACAGCCTTCAGGACAAGGAGCGTGCGGATCGTTTTCAGCAGTGTGCCGAGGCATGCGTGCAGTGGTAAATACAGACCAATGTCAGTGTCCAGGGTATCCGAGATTCGATGCCGACAGGCAGTCTCTTGCATGATCGTGCAGACCGGAGCCGATGGCAAGGAAGCCTTTTGGCTTTGTCACAAACAAGGCGAAGATGCTATTCAGCGTTGCAAAGAGGCGGGTCCTGGGAAGTTAGGAAAGTTCTTGTCCATTTGGAGAGCTGCCCGTGTGGTGCCTGGTTGCTTGCAGGAGGGGAATAACTTGGCGTGGAGGTTGGCACAGCGTTTGGAACAGTGCAGGACTCTGCTGGTCTGTTAGACAGCCACACGTTCAACTTGGTATCCATGCTTGGCTCAGTGTTCCACCGAGGCTTCGCTGCCTGAACAGAGGCCTGGGCCTCAAGCACACACCGGAGGCAATCTTCGAGGAGTTCAGCGAGCGTGTCCGTGATCATGGCCTCACGTATGCCTCCAGTATGTCCCAGGCGGAGCTTCTCGGGATCTATTCGTGTTCGTGCGGTGTCAATGTGTGCGTGTGTCTTTCCAAGTGCTTATAAGAACATCTCAGGGACATAGCAATGACAGGTGAAGAGCCCTTCCATGGTTCAAAAGCTCTTGCGGCTTTTGGCACGTGCCATGGAGGGCAACGTGACGGAGGTTTTCCAGAACATGCAGTTCATCGGCGGACATCCGACATGGATCGGACAATGGTCCGTCGTCAGTCGGCTGCTCGGGCCCTGCTCCGACGGCCAAGAACTCGCGTTCGTGGCTCGACACACGGCTGCATTTCACTGCAAATCGTAGCAAGGATTGGATTTTTTCAGACTAAGAGTGAGAGGAGATGCAGTAGCCGCTAGTAGTAGCAGTAATAGTAATAGACAGAGAGAGAGAGAGAGAGAGTAGAAAAAGGAGTAGCCTAGCACCAGCAGCAACAGTACAGTGGCGGCAGTAGTAGCTAGTCGTCCTAGTAAGGGTAGTAGTACTAGTCGTAGTAGCATGACTTGTGGCTGTAGTTGTAGTACTGTACTTGTTATCCTGAGTTAGCAGCCATAGCTGCTTAGAATTGGGACTAGGAATATTTCTGAGCGGTCCTGACTCGGTCGGGTAGCAAGACGAACCCTGACAGACCGAAGCAAGTCCATTAACTACATGCAATGAAGCCAGCAGCACTAGTCGTCTAGTTAAAGAAGTAGTAGTCGTAGTACTAGTAGTACTAGGTGTAGCCGCAGCAGCAGCAGCAGCAGCAGGAGGAGGAGGAGGAGGAGGAGTAGTAGCATAGGTAAGGACTAGAGACTTAGTGGGTGCTGGTAGGAGTAGCAGTACTAGTAGTAGTAGTAGTAGTAGTAGTAGTAGTAGTAGTAGTAGTAGTAGTAGTAGTAGTAGTAGTAGTAGCAGTGGTAGATAGCCCTATGCAACTGAAACACTACATGGTTGTGCAGCTGGCCT